GTAGGATTATTGTACGCACTTTCAATAGATGCATGTTTATCAGATATCAAATAAAGATCAGGTTGCGGAGCCACGTGTGTTCGGATATTCTTGAGAAAGAAACTCCAAGCCCCATCAGTCTCGCCCTCGACTAGAGCAAAGGCAATTGGAAAAATGTTTTTGTTTCCATCTTGTGCAACTGCCATCAATAGCATGCCTTTGTATTTCCCGTACAACCACGTTTCATCTATCTGGATAATAGGTTTGCATGACACAAACCCTATGATGCAAGGTTGAAAATCCCAGAACATTCGACTGAATATTCCATTCCCGTTGATAGAAGTATCGTTTGGGGCATACGCCAATAATGTTTCCATAATATAAATAGTTCATGGGGCATATGTCTGAAGCGCATGCATGTAGCGTGGTAGTTCTTTGTATGACTCCTCCCAATTTCCATATACCTTTTCAATAGCCTTTGTCTTTGCTAACCAAGCTTTTTTGTATGACAAAGTATAATTGTATATCGTAGTGATTTGAGAGATTATGATTTTCACCTTCAATGACGGATCATTGCTGATGAGTGGTAGGATTTCCTGACATACTAGATCATAACTTAATTTACGATGATCTTGTGATTGAGTAAAATTAATGCATGTGTGGGTGGATACTCAACCTGTATGATGCAGTGAGCCTGAACATACAATCTGTGTGAATACACTTGAGCTTGTACCTTTCGGGATTTACCCGATCAACCTTAAAGTCGACAAAGTTTACCATGTAAAACTTTTTTATAGATCGCATTCAATATTCTCTTGAGCGAAATTTGTCGTTCTCTTTTATATTTTTATCTAACTGCATATACGGGTTGAAATAAATTGGCTGATGGTTCATCTTCGGCTATGTTGAAGTCTGTCATGTGTGTAAGTGGTGTGTAGATTTCATTTGGAGGTATTTGAGGTGTCGCATCATCTTCGGAATCATCGTTGACCATGTTGTCAAACTCTAACTCTTCATCTTCCTCTTCTTCGTCAACGATATCTACTTCTGTTTGTTCTCCTTCAAGAGAATCTACCACTTGTGATTGAGTTGGTTGGGACCCCTGAGGCTCCTGCAGCACAATGTACAACTCAACCGAGTTGTACCCATAATACTCATGTCTAGAAAACATATTTTGAAGGTCCTCGTTGTCTTGAACCTCTATCTTATAAAAAATTACTTGGTTCTCCCAAAAAAAAACGAATTTTGGTAGAAGATGTATGACACTTGACCTCGTCCAAGTTTGATCTCTAGTTATTTTTTGAAATACAAGAAATTGTCTTTTATATTTAAATAAAAACGGATGTCATCTGTGTTTCTAAATAAATAACCATAAGTGGGACAATTGTACGTCTCACCGTTGAAATGTGCATTGATAACATATTTGTGTGCAGAGGACATTGTGTTTAAGTGTTTGAGTGTTTGAGTGTTTGTGACTAAATAAGATTCATGTGACTTGAATAAGACAAAAAAGATTAGCCTACCAGGTGTCATCTGGGATGGCGCATCCTCCTTATTTTGTTCATATGCGCCAATTGGGATGGTGCATCCCTAATAGCCCTGTTAATTAGCTTGCATGCACATCAGACTGTCCCAATGCTGCCATTCTACACTGCCCATACGTTGCCACCTACTCTACAAGGTGGCATGTCCCATGCAATTTTGAATGGCGCATGCATTCAAAAATGCATGTTGTCGCCAACTTGAATGGCGCATGCGTGACACCTACAATGCATGCCTGCAACCTCCAACCACCTTATTAACTCACATATATATGAATTCTCCTATAGATATGGCGCCTCAGACACTTGTTTTACATCACCAATCCACACACTCTCTGATACTTGTTTTACATTATCTTATACAATTTCAAATATGGTTCTACTAACAATTGGCGACTCTCACAGAGGCACAAAAACAAACATTGAGTCGTTTGTAAATTTTTATATTATTTTATATTATTTATACTTTTTATTAAATTATTAATTCATTCATCTTATAAACTCTAACATTAATTAAATTTTGAATTTAGAATCCTAAAAGATTTAGAATTCGCTCACACCACTATATTGAGCCCGATCCGTTAATCATTCCATATCTAGAATATGCCAGTTTTGGAAATATAATAAAAATATCAAACTGCACAATTGATTCAAAATTTATACTTGTAATGTTAGAAAGGTGGAGACCTGAGACACACACATTTCATCTACCAATAGGTAAATGTACCATCACTCTAGAGGATGTGTACATGTTATTGGGTTCTCTCTATCGAAAGTAAGGTCGTGAATGGGTCGGTTCAACAACCCAATTCTCTATGTGAGACATTGTTGGACAAAGATATAGTTGAAGCAACCGGTGCTAGAGGCCAAGGTATATTATTATTTGTACTTAGAAAATATTATGAGACTTTTGAGTTGAATGAAAATTCGATCGAGAAAGAAGTAACAATTAAAGCTAGAAATTATATTATGCTACTGTTTAGAATCCTGTTATTCCCCGAAAGTACGGGGAATACTGTAAATTTTATGTATTTAAGATTGCTTAGAAGTTTTGAGAGTACAAGAAAGTATAGTTGAAATTCTGATGTTTTAGCCCATCTATACAGTTCATTGTGTAATAACGCATCAAAAGACAAATGTACTTTTTATGGATTCATTTTTTCCCTTCAAGTATGGGGTTGGTGGAGAATGGAGTCCCTTAACCCCGTCAACAACAATACATTCACTTTCCCCTACGCAACAAAGTAAGTCAATATTTTCAATAATTTTTTATTCATCTCTTTGCCAAATATATGTAAAAAAAAATTAATTATTTTTTCCATTCCTTTAGGTATTGTGTAAGGGGTATGAAATATAGAAAAAATCCAAGATTAAATGTCACTCTGTATCGTAATCTATTGGATCACCTTGGCCTGAATGACGTACGTAACACCTCTAAACTTTTCTACTTTTAAATTATTTATTTTTAAAGTTTTTTATCTTCTAATTAGTTTTTATCCACAGTTTATCTGGAGACTATATTTGGATTTGGAGCATGAATCCAACCCCGAGGATACAATAGTTTAGACGACAAAGACTGTAATCATATGGTTCAATATTGTGGAGATGCACCATAACGACCGTGTCAAAATGTAGTTTGGAATACATCAAGAAATACCATCTGATCTGACTTGTTTGTCACTTTGGCATCTCAAAAGGGTGGACGCACAATGGAGTATTAATAATTGGAAAGAGTTTGCTCCAGAATGTGCAAGATGTGGGCTAGGCGTCACCTTCATATCTTACAATTTCTTGTTTTTCTCAACCAGAGTAATATACAACACACAGATCAGTATATGGATTGGTACAAATCGGTTACTAACCCTAAAATGCATGTGTCTCACCCGAGGTATTTGCTCGATCCACACACACAATGGACACAATCCTCAAACCCCCAACAACAACCCCAACAACAAACCCAATAAACATTTACCTCCCATCAAACACCACGATGGCACAGACCCCAACCTCAATATCAACCTCAATCCCAACCTCAATACCAATACACCCATATGCCCCAGACCTAACCCCAATTCCAACCTCAAAACTAGTACACTCATATACCTTACACCTAACCCCAATTCCAACCTCAATACCAATATACCCAAATGCCCCACACACAGTTTCAGTACTCTAAACAAAGATCATGTACATCCAACATCTCGATGTGGGATCCTCATCATCTCACCTTAGCCCAGATCTAGGCGAACCTGAAGAATATGACCCAACCTACCCATCTTACCATCAACTAACCCTAAACCCTAGCACCCAACAATCGCAATACCAAAATCCACACGACTCTTTTACTAACACAAATCCCACTTTTTCAGACGACCATTGTTATCGACCACCCATGAAACCCCGCCCACCACCAATGCGATAGAACTTTGAGGGCATGGGTAATCGACTTTTTCAAAGCGAATCTTCCGAATGTGCTGATTTGACAGATTTCTTAGATCCTGAACGTATTGACTATGTTGGGCCTTCGACCCAACCTCAACATGAAAATCGTCGAAACACACCAAGAACAAGGCGAGAACGCGAATGCGGAATAGAGAGTCGTTATCAAGTAACAGGGAGGAACAACTAAATAAAATGTAACTATTACTCTCATTATGTACTCGTAAGGTTATGAATGAAAATCGAACTTATGCAATATCGTTTCGCACTTGTCTTTTATTTAAAATAGAAAAAAAATCACTTTTCCCCTACCCCTAAAAGCACTTAGGCGCCATCTGAAATGGCTTAGGGCAAACACATTGTACCTATGCACCATCTCAGTTAGTGCATTCTTATAAAAATTGAGTGCATGCCCAATTGACTTGGCGCCACCATTCACATGTTTTCTAAAACATATTTATTTGGATAATTTTTCCCAAAACATAGTTATTTGTGTATTTTTTTTAATACATAGTTATTGCAAAAAAAAAATCTTATTATTATTATAATAATAATAATTATTATTATTATTATTATTATTATTAAAATGATTGAATAATATAAAATAATAATTAATGACATATAATTTCAAGTGTGCCCCTTATATCCAAATAATACTAATAATGTACAAAATACAATAAAACGACACTTTTTACATTGCTTGAAAAAAGGCAAGGAACATATCTGCAAATTTGACTAAACCAATTCCAAATTTTAGAAACAAAAGGACATTATAAGAAAAAATGTTGCATTGTTCACCGGTTTTGTGACATAGGTCATAATGAAAAACCACACACAAAGACCTTTGCTTATCAGATTTTCATTAGTAACTATTTTTTTTAAACAATCCTCAATTAAAGTAGACTTTGAAGGAGAAATATAATCATGCTAAATAAGTTTCGCCCAAAAAAGATTTTGGGTTGAAGGGGAATAAATTGATAGGCATACTTAAAAGCGAGAGTTCCATTAGCCGAATGCTTCCATATGAGATGATCTTGAGACTTAAATCGAAAGAGCTATAACATCATGCAAAATATGGGTGATACCCGCTATGCTTGCTTGATAGTGAGGAACAATCCATCTATCATTTTGAATAAAATCACTAACTTTAGTAGTTAAATGATGATGGTGAGTTAACTGGATATGTAACTTGTCAACCAAGAAATCCTCATTCCAATAATCACACACAAAATTCACTTTACCACTTTTGTAAATCTGCAAAATACTATTGCCCTTTACTTGAACCATTCTCATATTAAGACCACACGAGATAGAGGAATCAATAGAATAAGCAATGGTCTCGTGAGTCATGAGACTCCTAACCCCGAATAAGGTGGCACAAGTCATCTTAAGAGAGGCGGCTTCATTATTTTTCCACAAGGATATAAGACCAAAGCCGCCTTCTTTTAAGAAATGCATACTTTCTTTCAAGTCACAATAACTATCTTCTCTTATTGATGTTCTCACCTCTTTGTTGAGAAAAAATAATATCAAGCAAAATAGTAGCAAATTCGTCAACAATCACTTTGGGTTAAGATGTTACTTAAAATGTTCAAGTCTATAATGATCAACTTTATGTCCACCATCAATTTTTAAACTGAATGTGGAATGAATGTGAGATTACCTAGACTTATAGTCCATTGACGCAAAAACTTCTTCTGTACAAGGATTTGTGAAGCCGTCCATAGGATGAAAAATTGGCTCAAATATGGCATTGAGATCGCAAACTGCTTCATTTGCTCTCCAATGTACTGTGAAAGATAGTCGGTCCTTAGACACATTTGATACTTTTGAAGATGTTTAGGTGCTGCTAAATGAAGCACGCGTAATAGCTGCAGCTACGCGGAAACCCAATTCAAATGTTTTATAGTTTTTGGTGTATATTTAATAGCTGCTAAATCAGGACCGTATATTTATAGTTTCCAAGAGTTTCTTGAAATCATAGATAAAACGATGGGGGGCAAGAGATGAGAGATCACATGGTGTTGTCTTAGATGCCTCAGTCAATGATCAATAAGTTCGACAAGAGGGTAAACCCCACCTTTCGAATGAAAGGCTCGTGTTAACCTCAATGCTTGTAGAATGCCTGCTCATTTCTTTTCAGACATGCATCAAACATGGCACATGTTCTCTTCATACTGACAACACAACTTTATGTTGACAGGAGATCACATGAAACTGTCTAGAGGTCTTTTTCGAAAGACTCGACAGAGTAATAAATTTGTAAATTTGTGTCCCATAAAAGCTGTGTCAACAATGTAACCATTCAGAAAATGAAAAAACTATGCACAAGGCTATCTTGCCTTTTATGTTGGAGAGAATGCAAGGAGGTTCTTGATTCCAGTATCGTTCTTGAACGAACCTTTGTTTCAAGAATTGCTTAGTCAAACTGAAGAGGAATTTGGTTACTGTCATCCAATGGGTGGTCTTACAATTCCCTGCAAGGAAGATATCTTCATACAAACAACTTCTCGCATGAACAACCTATAACTAATCCATACGGCAAAAAAGAAGTCATATTGGCTTGATAACATAGAATAGTGTAGGAATGACTAGTTGAGAAAAAATTTGTACATCCGGACTTTTGTTATCCATTTTGATGTTTCCTCTTCAGTGGAAATCTGAAATGAGTATTTCATCAAACTATATTCTTGTGAATTCATCTGTTATTTTTTGTTCATCTTAAATACTTGCATTCTATTCACAAACACAGGCCATGCACTGATTTTACGGAAAATGTCTATTACTACTAAATACTAATAGATACGGCAATGTGCAAAAGTGGTACTGGCTAGGCCATGGTCCATACATGATACAACAAAACTCAAACAAAAAATCTTTAAAGAAAAAACCTTTCTTCAAACTACAAAGATTTCCTACTTGATTGTCACAACCTCCATACATTTAGTATACTCTCACAAATTAAAAATATACTTTTGGTAAAGAGAGTGAAAAAATGAAGTTCATATATTTCAGGGGCAATTCCATGACTAAACAGTGTGAACAGAACATATATTAATTAATATTATAGGCTAAAAAATAGAAGCTAAACATAATAGAGTTCAGGCGTATCACTTATTGACCTAATTATGAAAAGTCTTCCGATGCCAATTCTGCGTCCAGCCATAATCTACATATAATAGCAGTTAAACATGAATTTCAAGTCAATATAGATATTATAAACTCTTGTTTCGAAAGCCATTCAGAGGATGAATGGTTTAAAAGTGGACCAAGTGTTTCGTGTTGGCCTTTTATTCATTACTTGCAATAGTCTGATACTTAAAAGCAGTAGTAAGCATCTGAAGCATAAGAAATGTGTAAAAACTGGATGCCTAGATACAAGAAAGCTTATCAACTATTAGAGTTTGGCTGAATGCTTTATTAGGCCAATAAATGTAGAGTAATTGGTTCGATAATTATAAGAACTTCCTTCAACATGCATTCAACATTAGTAAAATATGACTGATTGAACTGAAACTTGATAAACAGTATATTTTCTTTTTTCCCTAACAGAAGTCAGTTTTAGAATTTATAAATAGAAGCATATAGGAGCCCAATGAGTTGTTGAATATAATGAGTCATTGTGATTAGAAATAAATAATAACAAATGATCTGTTCCTGAATTTGTCATTCAGATGGTCAATTCTAACCCATTCCATATACAAATCTAAGTTGTGACTATTGTACTTGTCATTCAGATGGTCAATTCTAACCCATTCCATATACAAATCTAAGTTGTGACTATTGTACAAAAATGTCTGCTAATCTAATGTCAGTCTCTTGCAGCTCTAGATTTATAGTCCATTGAAGCTAGAAGTAATATGTAAGAAAACATCTTCTGCACAAGGAATTGTAAGGCCGCCCATCGGATGATCATATCCGAATTCTTCCTCTACTTGACTCAGCAAGTCTTGAAATGAAGGTTGGTTCAAGTAAGACATAGGGATAACAAAGCGCTTCATTTTCTCTCCGACATACACTGCAAGATAACCTTTTGGCACATTCAAAGCTTTTGATGATGATTGGCTACCAGTAAATGAAGCCCGTCTAATAGCAGGTAATCGGAAACCCATCTTCTAATGGTTTGAAAAGCAAGCTGAATTTCTCAGATTTAAGAAAAGTGTATCTAAATTTGTTTGCTTGAGTGGTTTATGATGTTGTGAAAGAAGATAGTGCATTTATAGTTTCCAATAGTTTGTTGAAATCCATTTGTTTGAGAAATTATTGTTAAAATGATGTGGCCCATGAGATAATAGATCACATGGTGCTGTTTTAGATGCCACTATCAAGCATCAATATGTTAAAGAAGAGGGCAAACCGTAACCACTAAAAATAAAATGAGATGTACGCATTTCAAACTCGTATTGTATGATGCCTACTCATTTCTTTTCAGACATGCATCAGACATGGCACGTGTTCTCTTCACATTGACAACACAACTTAATGTTGATATATGACCTGTAGAATTACGAAAAATATCAATCACACTCTATTTAAGAGTTGCACATATTTATTGTTCTTGAAGGGCCAAGTTGGAGATAACAAGAGTACGGACCACAACAGACCACATGCTACGGTCTAGAGGTCTTTCTCAAAGAATGGATAATTGCTTAAGAATTGAGCGAGTAATTAAATGTATGACCAAGATTAAGAGGGTGTGCCAACATGGTGAGCATTCAGAAAAATAAAAGTGATATGCACAGATAAGAAAACCAACTAAGAAAACAAGAAGCAAATCATGTAATATAATTTTATATGATATTACAAAAACTGATCATGCAGTGTAAGTAACCTTGCAAGTGAAAATTCTACATAAATTTGAAGAAGATTTAACAAATACCAAGTGAATTCGAACACTGCCTTTTCAATGCAGTAAAGGTTGCTAGAATACAAAGTACGGCACATTCTAAATCATTATTTAAATCCTGCTAGTTCAATGGAATAATGAAAACTTGAAACATGCTTTGACACAAAGTATGGCACATTTTAAATCATTATCCAAATGATATATCAGCCACATTTTACGGCTAGATCAACAATGTGGCAGTAGTCTGCCCATACAAAGTTGCAGCAGCTTCTAAGAAGATTGCATGGTTTATTTGTTGGATATCAAGTACAGATAGATATCACTTGTCTTACAAAAACAAGAACAAGATATTTGATGTGTTTAGAGCTTGTCTGAAATATAATAAGTAGGTTATCTCAGGTCTCTTTCATACACTAGTTGTCCAAAAGGTGGGTCATGTAATCTCACATTTCATACAGTCCCTATGAAAGCCTTCAAGACAGTACCATGTGATCATTAATGAGCCATGGCTCCCACTAAACCTCATTCAATAACTCATTCGCCATACAATTGGTTTTCTATATATATATCCATTATTGAGTTTACAAGTAACACAAACCATTCATACTTTGAAGCATCAGAAATCAAGTTCACTGCTTTCTTCTACTAAATCTTTGAGATCATTCTATTGTGAGAAAAAAAAACAAGAATGGGTTTTCGCTTACCTGGTATTAGACGATCATCGTTTAGTGCAAGCCAAGCATCTAGAAAAGAAGTGGGAGTCCCAAAAGGCTATCTTGCCGTTTATGTTGGAGAGAATGCAAGGAGGTTCTTGATTCCAGTATCGTTCTTGAACGAACCTTTGTTTCAAGAATTGCTTAGTCAAGCTGAAGAGGAATTTGGTTATTGTCATCCAATGGGTGGTCTTACAATTCCCTGCAAGGAAGATATCTTCATACAAACAACTTCTCGCTTGAATAACCTATAACTAATCCATACGGCAAAAAAGAAGTCATATTGGCTTGATAACATAGAATAGTGTAGGAATGACTAGTTGAGAAAAAATTTGTACATCCAGAATTTTGTTATCCATTTTGATGTTTCCTCTTAAGTGGAAATCTGAAATGAGTATATCATCAAACTATATTCTTGTGAATTCATCTGTTATTTTTTGTTCATCTTAAATACTTGCATTCTATTCACAAACACAGGCCATGCACTGATTTTACGGAAAATGTCTATTACTACTAAATACTAATAGATATGGCAATGTGCAAAAGTGGTACTGGCAAGGCCATGGTCCATACATGATACAACAAAACTCAAACAAAAAATCTTTAAAGGAAAAACCTTTCTCCAAACTACAAAGATTTCCTACTTGATTGTCACAACCTCCCTACATTTAGTATACTCTCACAAATTAAAAATATAGTTTTGGTAAAGAGAGTGAAAAAATGAAGTTCATATATTTCAGGGGCAATTCCACGACTAAACAGTGTGAACAGAACATATATTAATTAATATTATAGGCTAAAAAATAGAAGCTAAACATAATAGAGTTCAGGCGTATCACTTATTGACCTAATTATGAAAAGTCTTCCAATGCCAATTCCGCGTCCAGCCACAATCTACATATAATAGCAGTTAAACATGAATTTCAAGTCAATATAGATATTATAAACTCTTGTTTCGAAAGCCATTCAGAGGATGAATGGTTTAAAAGTGGACTAAGTGTTTCATGTTGGCCTTTTATTCATTACTTGCAATAGTCTGATACTTAAAAGCAGTAGTAAGTATCTAAAGCATAAGAAATGTGTAAAAACTGGATGCCTAGATACAAGAAAGCTTATCAACTATTAGAGTTTGGCTGAATGCTTTATTAGGCCAATAAATGTAGAGTAATTGGTTTGATAATTTTAAGAACTTCCTTCAACATGCATTCAACATTAGTAAAATATGACTGATTGAACTGAAACTTGATAAACAGTATATTTTCTTTTTTCCCTAACAGAAGTCAGTTTTAGAATTTATAAATAGAAGCATATAGGAGCCCAATGAGTTGTTGAATATAATGAGTCATTGTAATTAGAAATAAATAATAACAAATAATCTGTTCCTGAACAGATGGTCAATTCTAACCCATTCCATATACAAATCTAAGTTGTGACTATTGTACAAAAATGTCACTGCTAATCTAATGTCAGTCTCTTGCAGCTCTAGATTTATAGTCCATTGAAGCTAGAAGTAATATGTAAGAAAACATCTTCTGCACAAGGAATTGTAAGGCCGCCCATCGGATGATCATATCCGAATTCTTCCTCTACTTGACTCAGCAAGTCTTGAAATGAAGGTTGGTTCAAGTAAGACATAGGGATAACAAAGCGCTTCATTTTCTCTCCAACATACACTGCAAGATAACCTTTTGGCACATTCAAAGCTTTTGATGATGATTGGCTACCAGTAAATGAAGCCCGTCTAATAGCAGGTAATCGGAAACCCATCTTCTAATGGTTTGAAAAACAAGTTGAATTTCTCGGATTTAAGAAAAGTGTATCTAAATTTGTTTGCTTGAGTGGTTTGTGATGTTGTGAAGGAAGATAGTGCATTTATAGTTTCCAATAGTTTGTTGAAATCCATTTGTTTGAGAAATTATTGTTAAAATGATGTGGCCCATGAGATAATAGATCACATGGTGCTGTTTTAGATGCCACTATCAAGGATCAATAAGTTAAAGAAGAGGGCAAACCGTAACCACTAAAAATAAAACGAGATGTGCACATGTCAAACTCAATACATGTATGATGCCTACTCATTTCTTTTCAGACATGTGTCAGACATGGCACATGTTCTCTTCACATTGACAACACAGCTTAATGTTGATATATGACCAGTAGAATTATTAGAAATATCAGTCACACACTATTTATGAATTGCACATATTTATTGTTCTTGAAAGGCCTAGTAGGAGATAATTAGACTATGGTTCACAACAGATCACATGCTAGTGGTCTTTCTCAAAGAATGGATGATTGCTTAAGAATTGAGCGAGTAATTAAATGTATGACCAACATTCAGAGGATGTGCCAACATGGTGAGCATTCAGAAAAATAAAAGTGATATGCACAGATAAGAAAACGAACTAAGAAAACAAGAAGCAAATCATGTAATATAATTTTATATGATATTACAAAAACTGATCATGCAATGTAAGCAACCTTGCAAGTGAAAATTCTACATAAATTTGAAGAAGATTTAACAAATACCAAGTGAATTTGAACACTGCCTTTTCAATGCAGTAAAGGTTGCAAGAATACAAAGTATGGCACATTCTAAATCATTATTTAAATCCTGCTAGTTCAATGGAATAATGAAAACTTGAAACATGCTTTGACACAAAGTATGGCACATTTTAAATCATTATCCAAATGATATATCAGCCATATTTTAAACTTATCTCTGGTCTCTTACATAGACTAATTTTCCAAAAGACAGTACCACGTGATCATTAATGAGCCATGGCACCCATTCAATAACTCATTCACCATACAAATGGTTTTCAAAGTCTATATATATAGTTCAGTGAAAGAGTGAACATGATGGATGTTTTGAGATTGACCCCATTGTGGAAGTGTCTAAAAATTACTAATAAACTCCAAGAAAACACAAACAGTGGTAAAAGCTCCCGGTGAGAAGCGCTTTATTCAACATGCATTTAAAGAGAAACTCTAAGGGGACAAATTATGAACATGCATGCAATGGTACTATCAATTACTCCATACTAGAGAGGAATGTGATTACTGCCATCTAATGAAGGTCTACAATTCCCTGAAACGAGAATATGTTCTTACAGTTGGAAGGTCTACCATGCATCAATTCAGTAGCATTGAAATGATAGAATTTGGAAGCAAGTGAGTAGCATTGAAATGAAATGAAGACAGGAACATACCAATAATTGAAGAAGGCGGTGGTGACGGATAATCATATGAACCGCGCTCTTCATATGGATTGATGAGGTCATAGTTTTTATACTATAAATAACAGGCAGCTAACGGCAACGGCAACCCTTTAGTTTGAATTCGCCTCAACTATTGATAAAAGTGAAAGTTAGTTAAGAGTCAAACATAAATAAAAATGAAAATAAAACAAAGAGTCAAATAGCCATCACAGTTGTTTAAATCCAAACTACGGCATCACAGTTTTATCAATTTTAAATGGAGAACTTTGACTAGTTAGACACTCAAGACTGTTGTTGAACTTAAAAAAATATCCAGTATGTCTGATACTTGTGGGTTCAAAGTCAAACATGCAGTACTAATATATTTTGACTGTTGACCAAGCCATTGATGAAAGTTCCCCGTTGCCTCCCTACATTTATGATGTGATTTGTATCCAAGAATGCATTATCTATCTAGATTAGAATTGACACAACAGCAGAACTTATCTATATGTCGGCAGTGAGCCGTGTTATCAATAAGAAGAAAAAATGTGACATGTCTAATGGGTGTCTACAAAAATAAGAGTATGTATTGATAATAAATCAAAACATTAAGTTAATCTACTGGCCATCTCATTTGACTCTGAGTTGGGTTGTCTATGTACTGGCCTTTCATTGAGAAGGTCAGGTGGGGCCTTGAGCGTCCAAGACAATAGCATGTGGTGATCCCTTATCTTTAACAAGAATAATTTATAAAAGAAATGGATTTGAAGACTATAAATACACTATCTTCTTTCACAACCAACCATCACACATCATTCACGTACTAAAGCATAAAAAAGTAAGAAAAATTAGAGATCTTTAGCTTGTTCTTGAAAACATTTGAAATGGGTTTGCGTTTACCTGGAGCTATAAGACGGGCATCATTTAGCAAAAGCCAAACATCATCAAAAGTGACAAACGTGCCAAAGGGATGTCTTGCGGTGTACGTTGGTGAGGAAATGAAGCGGTTTGTGATTCCGACATCATACTTGAACCAACCTTCATTTCAAAACTTGTTGAGTCAAGTAGAGGAAGAATTCGGATATGATCATCGAATGGGCGGCCTCACAATTCCTTGCACGGAAGATGTATTCTTGCATATAACTTGTGGCTTCAATGGTCTATAAATCAGAAACTGCAAGAGAGTAACATAGATTAGTATTGAGATTTTGTAGAACATAGGCATGTTGTAAATATTGGGAAAATGGATGAAATACATTATTTGATGTTTTGGCAAACACAGAGCTTCAATGGTCTATAAACCAGAAACTGCAAGAGAGTAACATAGATTAGTATTGAGATTTTGTAGAACATAGGCATGCTGTAAATATTGGGAAAATGGATGAAATACATTATTTGATGTTTTGGCAAACACAGAGTTGAATTGAATTGAAAGCATAATGTTAATCTATATTGGTGAAAATTGAATTGAAAGCTATGATGTTAGCAATATGGTGAAGCATTTGATTAGAGAAAAGAGTGAAATGAAAGTATACATAACATAAGAATTTTGTATAATAACCAACCCTAATAGCATTGAAATTGAAAATGAATGAGAAAAGGAACAAAACCTAAACGCAAAATCAAAGAGAAAAGGAATGAAACCCTAACCTAAAGAAGAAGAAGACGATTGATAAAGGGAAAAAAGTCAAAAAAAAATTTGGACCATTTCTCGATTTGTGCGTGTCATCCTTGCGCAGGGGCCATGCTAATCTTCTCTGTATCGTTCCAATTTTATCGGATGTCCCCGAAGGGACGAGCTAAGACTAAGTATCTCTTCTATATAAACTCAATAAAATAAAACAAACCAGCCAATGTGGGACTAAAAGTAAGCATAACACGGTTAGTTCTCTTTGTTGTGTCAAAACCGCTTATTATTTCTCTTCTTCAATCAATCTGCATCTATATGTATAATTTGTTATGTTATGTTATGTTGCCTCAACTTCACTTAATTAGTAGTAGTAATTCATTACATCATTCATTCTACACTCCAGATTTAAGAAAATTCTTCAAGGTGTACCATATATACTATACCTTATATATATATATACTATTTGCATATACTATTTTCTTAATACATATAGAAGCAACTAGTAAGAAAACTAATTAACCATCTCATTATTGCCTCATCTTTATTAATTATACTTAACTCTATTATTAATTATTGCTTATTCATTAATTAATTAATGTTTTTGTTTACTCATTCATCTGGTTAACCATGTCTTATTAAAAATCTATCTTTATTTTAAATTAATAGATTTTCATACCACTTTTAATATATTATCTAATTTAACTTTAAATAATTGATTTTTAAAAGTTAATTTTTCATTTGTACTCTTAATTATGATTATTCTAGAAACAACTCGCGACAAGGGAATAAACACCGTGAGGATTGAGGTCAGCTATCTTGTAGCATATGTCCTATCATCCTACAATACCATCTTAGGCCATGCTGCCATCAAGAGTTGGGGGCAGTTATCTCCACTCTATATCTGGTCCTAAAATACTTGTTGTTTGGTGGAAGAGTCTGGACAATTCGAGGAAACCACCAGAGCGCTATTAGAATAGCCTGGTGATAAAAATGGAAGAGCTCGCCCTTGTTGGCTCCCCCTTTCTCGAATCCCTTCAAGTAGACATTGATTGTTAGGATCCTATTTTGGATGCTAAAAACGAGATGCTCACACCCACAGTGAACAATGTGATATTTAAGGGACTCAAAAAGAAGTTTGATGATCCAAAAGACTTATGGTCATATCACACCACCCCTCACTCTACCACCAAGAAAATTCTATTATCTATGGTGTATGGAGCAGACGCCATGCTGCTCGTAGAGATTGATACACCCTCGCACTATAATAAATAATACATTATACGACAAAGCATTCACCTCGGCCAACAAATAATCGATATGTAAACATAAACACGCCACATTTTAATTATTTTTTAAAAATGCTACTTATTTCCTCCGTTGAGTTGGCCACCGAGGGAAAATATATTTAAGGGACGTGTCTTCAAATCTAAGCATTTGCGCTTTAGCACCATTAAAATTTTGTAGAAAAAAATTATGACCTATTATCTTGGTTGAGCTGGAAACTAAGAGGAAATATATTGAAGGGGCATGCCTTTAAATCATAGCAACTGCCTTTTAACACTTTTTAATTTTATTTTTATTTTTTATCACATATTACCTCGATTGAGCCGACAACCAAGTGGGAAGGTATGAGGGAAGATTCCTTCAAATTTTAATAACTACATTTTAGCATCCTTTATTTTTTTTTATGATCTATTACCTTAGTTGAGCTGACAACCTAGGGGTAAAGTATAACTGCATTTTAGCGTATATTATTATTTTTTTAATGAAAAATGGTAGTTTAAAAAAAACTTACAATTTCTTTCGAGTTTAAAAACATTTTAATAAATTAGCAGCGGAAATATAAATAAGTGGAAAATAAAGAGTTGTGGGTAAAGAGATAATACCACAAACTATAGAGGTTTGGTCGAAATGAAGTGACATAATCCTCTCCTAAAGATTTAATCTTGAGAGTAGACAACAATTCTTAAGAGGTTTTAATATGTTGAACTTTCAAACCCCCCTTATACAAGGAAAAAATAAATTTCAGGCTACCTTCCAACCAAACATCGAACACCAAAAAGATGTGGT